ATCATGGTAGTGGTGGTGGTGGGGAGGATTGGGCGAAGTAATATGAGTAGTAAGTGGCAAGAAATGTGGGATTCCTGGAATCGCAGATGACCCTGGATTCCTTGTGGCCTTGTATGAGTCTATGCCATGAATTTATGTCATGCTACATTTTGCAAATAGGCTCATGCTGGTATTTCTCCCTATATTTATTTAGTTTTCTCAAGTCCCACATTCATTCTTAGAATTTCAAACAATAGGATTGGGTGGGGCAAAAAGTGAAAAGTGCCTCTTCCACCACTGCCAAGTTTGGTATGTGTGTCTCACTTTTTCTTTGCATAGATATTCATGCTTATTGGTAAGAAGTCTTGGCCACAGCCTTCCTGTACCACCACCTTGTCTGTTCTAGCTCTTTCCCCAGGACCTGCACAGTTTATCAACCTAAGACAGGCCACAGAAGGCTGTCTAGTTTCCTGCTTCTAGGGCTAGGGCCAAGCATCAGTGCTGAGTGGTTAGTGCCTGTGTCAGACTAGTTGTTAAATATTTTGAATACCACCTCTAAATTTCTCATATGTATAGTTTTTTTCATAAGTGGAATCATATGACATATATTATTATGTAGGTTGTTTTTCATTTTAACTATATATGTCTTGGGCACCTTTTTCATTAGCACAACTAGAATACTTAATTCTTTATATAATAATGGCTATATAGTATTTCATTGTAGGATATATCATAATCTGTTTAATCAATACCCAATTGGTGGGCATTTAAATTGATTCTAATTTTAATAGTACATGTAATGCTGTAGAAAAAATCTTTTTTTTTTAAATTTCAGCATATTATGGAAGTACAAATGTTTAGGTTACTTATATTGCCTTTGCTTCACCCTGTAGCAAAAATCTTAATTCCCATTTTTGAGGACTTTAAATTTAGATATATGCTGTCAAATTGTTTTTTAAAAAGGCTACTTGAAACTACCCATTTTCTCATTCCTTATGAATATAAAAAAATCTATTTAATTTTGACCAATGTGATAGTTTTAAAAAATATCTAATTTTTATGTTCATTTTGGTGAGGTTGTGTGTTTTACATGTTTAATTAGCAATATATATTTTCTTATTCTATTGTCTAATATCTTTTGTCCAATTTTCCATTGCATTGTTTTTCTATTATTGATTTGTAACTACTCTTTGTATATTAAGGACATGGACATTTTATTATGTTGCAATATTTTTCAGTCTGTTCTTTGTTTTATAACCTCATTTATTATGTTCTTACCATATATGTTCTAAAATTTTATGTAATCCAACCTGTCATCTTTTGGTCATGACTTTCGTGTTTCATGCCATATTTCTATATCCTTATACCACCCTGTTTACCTTCAAGAAATAAAGGTCCAGCTTTCCCACCAATTGGAATTGTGAGGACCCTGAGGTCTCAGGTGTACCTACTAAGCTAAGTAGCAAGGTTAGTGTGCTCTCCTTGGTGATATTCGGGCAAGGGTTCTTAACTTGGGGGTCTGTGAATTTACATCTTTATTTTTATTAAGTGTTAATTAACATGTATCATTTCCTTCAATTATGAATTCAGGCCACAAACCACAGTAGAGTTAGTATAACCTGTGACTTTGCCATTAAACATTGCAGGTACTTTCATATCATGTTGAGGTTGTTGCAGATATCTTGAAATTTTGTTTATACTCTTACCACTTTTAGATCAGATGTTAAATCTTGCTATTTAATCCGTTAATAAACGAAGATATTATTGCATCACAAATTTATTTTCTTTTTCTTTTTTTTTTTTTTTTTGAGACAGAGTCTCACTTTGTTGCCCAGGCTAGAGTGAGTGCCGTGGAGTCAGCCTGGCTCACAGCAACCTCAGTCTCCGGGGCTCAGCGATCCTACTGCCTCAGCCTTCCGAGTAGCTGGGACTACAGGCATGCGCCACCATGCCCGGCTAATTTTTGTATATATATATTTTTAGTTGGTCAATTAATTTATTTCTATTTTTGGTAGAGACGGGGTCTCGCTCAGGCTGGTTTCGAACTCCTGACCTTGAGCAATCCGCCCGCCTCGGCCTCCCAAAGTGCTAGGATTACAGGTGTGAGCCACCACGCCCGGCCCATAAATTTATTTTCTAATGCTTTCACAGCTATATTTCAATATATTGGTGTCCTCTGTAATTCTATGTTTCATATTATGCACTTAAAAACATTCTGAGAAGGGGTTATAGCCTTCATCCAATTGCCAAAGGGGAATCCCACTCAGAAAAGGCAAGGACCCCAGGCAGGTAGTCTCTGGGGCAGCTCCTTCCAGATCCCACTCCCATTACTGCCAGCAAATGAGATCACAGCTAGCAAGCCATGCCTTAGGTTTGTTTCTAAACTCATCAAGCAGGTCCTGCTTAGGCTTATTCTGACCCTGCATTTTCATTTTTGCAGAAGAGACCTTTTTCCTAAGAAAGGAGGTTTCTTCTGCAAGTGTTCAGACTTCCTTCAAAGTGATCTTTTCAGGGAATGGGCTAGAGTGTCAACTCTGTCTAAAGAACAATTTCCCCTTAGCTCCAGCTACTTCTGGACATGTGAGTGTATAGGCCTTTTCTTAACAGATTCTCATATTTTTCAACAGAAACCAGCAAAACAGATTTTGTTGTAAAATCTCCCTCTGATTGTATTATATGTCAACACTGAAAACCCAACAATACACTTTTGACCTAAAATCACCTGAGGGGTCATTAGTGGCTGGCATCCCAACATTGGGAGACCTTCCCATATACCTCAGATGCCCTGAACCTCCCTTCAGGAGAGTGGGACCTGGAGGTGGCTTCAGAGGTGTGATGCCAGCCGTTGTGGGCTGCCTTGGCTGGGTCCTAGTTTCCTGGTGCATCCTGAGGTGTAGGAAGGAGACCACCCGTGACAGGGTCTAAGCTGGGTCAGAGAGTGGTGTCTAGCACTGGGCTGAGAAGGGGGTGAGGGGCTACAGCAAGGTGGAAACTGTAGATATTGATAATTTACCCTCCTGCCCCTCCACCCAACAGCTATGGCCCGGCTTCTCAGGGTGACAGGAATGTACCCTGGACTAGCTATCTAGGGCCAGTTTCCTTTGGCCTATATACCTGTCCCCAGTGGCACTGCCAAATCTTGTGAGTGCTGCAGCAGAGGAGGGCAGCAGAGGGTGACAGCTTCCCAGAGCTATGTGATGTAGTCCTCTATAGGCTCTTGGTAGCCTTGGAACACAGAAGAGAGCTTGGCACATGATAGGTACTCAATAACTCTTCCCTGTATTGAGTGTAGAACTAAGGGCCAGTAAAGGAGGGGTCTGAGGGCTCCATGTGTGGGAGGTCTTGGTCAGCTCAAGATGCAGGCTTTGGCTCTTGGCCAAGTGGACCTGGGTGTGTGTCAAGTCCACTTTCTCACAACAGCCCTGCAAAAAGGGCACCCCATTTACACGTGGAGAAATTGAGGTTGGTGGAAATAACACACACAAAACCACACACGTACCCTTAGATCTACTTTCTGCAAACTTCAGGGATACAGTGGGAAGAGAACCGAGAGCAAATATCCCAAGCGATTTCACAGTGTGAACTCAGGAGGACACACAACTGACTGCTAGCCTCAGGCTGAGCCTATAGATACTTTAGCTAATTTGGTTCTCATTAACAACCTGCTGGGTAGAATTAATTTTTTCCATTTATAGGTGAGAAAACTGAAGGTAGGAGAGGTTAAGTGACTTTCCCAGGGTACATAGCTTGGGAAGGTGGAATGTAGATATGTTTTTGACTCCAAAGCCTGTACTCTTCTCCTTGCCCCTGTGGGCCATGAAACCCCTGGAGTGACAAAAGTGCCCTGACTAGGAGAAGAGGGAGAAGCAAGATTCCCCATCAGAGTAGATGGCTCACGGACATCTCTACTGGGTCCTGGTTCCTGCTCCATCCACTTCTTTTTTTTTACATTTTAAAAATTGTGATAAAATGTACATAACATAAAATTTGCTACTTAATAATTTTTAAGTGTATAAATTCAGTGGCATTAAGTACAGTCACATTGTTGTACAACCATCACCACTGTCCATCTCTGGAACTTTTTCATCATTCCAAAACTGAAACTCTGTACCCATTACACAATAATTTCCCACTCTCCCTCCCGCAGACCCTGGTAACCACTATACTACTTTCTGTCTCTATAAATTTGACTATTCTAGGGACCTTGTATAAATGGAATCATACACTATTCATCCATTTGTGTCTGGCTTATTTTACTTAGTGTCTGTTTTTGCTTTGGTCTGAATGTTTGTGTGCTCCCCAAATGGGGATGAAATCTTGACTGCCCCTCAAGGTGATGGTATTGGGAGGTGATGAGGCTATGAGGTAGGGCCCTCATGATTGAGATTAGTGCCCTTATAAAAGAGACCTCAGACAGCTTGCTAGTCCCTTCTACTATGTGAGGACACAGCAAAAAGATGACAATCTATCAAAGCCAGGAAACAGGTCCTCACCAGGCATGGAATCTGTTGATCTTGGACTTCCCAGTCTCCTGAACTGGGAGAAAAAAAATTCTGTGGTTTATAAGCTGCTTAGGCTATAGTATTTTGTGATAGCAGCCTGAATGGACTAAGGCAGTTTTCGAGGTTTATTCATGTTGTAGCATAATGTCAGAATTTTCTTCCTTTTTAAGGCTACTATTCCATTTTGTATGTATCATATTTTGTTTATCCATTCAACTGTCAATAGACATTTGGTTTTTTTCCCACTTTTTGGCTGTTGTGAATAATGTTATTATGAACATGAATGTACAAATATCTGTTTGAGTCCTTGTTTTCAATATTTTTGAGTGTATACCCAGAGGTAGAATTGCTGGATCATGGCGATTTTATGCTTAATTTTTTGATGAACCATTTCACATTCCCACCAGCGATGCACAGAGGTTCCAGTTTCTGTGCATGTCCTTGCCAATTCTTGTTCCCATGCACTTTCGCTGTAGCGCTCCAACACGCAGAACTTGGCAGATTGAGGCTGTGGTGGGAAAAAAGCCTTAAAAATGGGGGGTGGAAAATCCCAGAAATCTTAGTGTCAGTGAAACTACTGCTGGTTATGGGAAGGGATTAGGGACCGGTATCAGGAGAGAAAAGTTTTTTAATACTGGGTTTCCCAGCCAAAACCCCCAGGGCAGGGGGAAGGGAGTTGCCATCTGACCTGACCCAAAGGACTCTTCCAGCGTGGGGCTGAGTCAGGAAGAAAACAGGACGGTTCCTTTAGTTTAGGGTGGGCCGGCAGGGTTCTCTGCCCAGAAGGCTGCAGCTGTTCCAGCCTGCAGCCGGCCAGCGATTACACTGGAGGTCGTATGTAGGGAGACCGCAGCAAGGCCAGCCCCTCAGCAAGGCCAGGAAGCCATCCACTGGGATCCTGGATTTTACTCATGGATTAAACGTGGCATTCCCTCCTTCCCCATCCGTTACAGATCTAAAAATAGCTCGTCCCTGGGGAGCTGGGAAGCGGCTCCGCCTCTTCTTGGCGAGGGGTGGGGCGGCTGTCCTGGGCGCTCGAGGCACGAGAACGGCTGGCCGCGAGCTGCCGGCGCACGGAGGCGCTCTGGGCCCCGGGTCCCCGCAGGCTGGCGGCGCTGGCGTGGGCAGGGCGGGCGCTGTCCCCAGCGGCAGAGAACGCGGGGGTTAACGGTGGCTGGGGCAGCATCCCTGGGCGGCAGACGGTGAGGATTCCGGGAACTGCCTCTGCGCCGTCTGGCGGAGCCAGCCGGGAGGCGGGACCCGGGGCGAGGAGGGGAGCCCGAACCTCAAGACCTCTTCCCGCTGCCTCCGGCTCCGGGGACCCCACGGTGAGCCGGGCCGCGTGCGGAAACTATGCCCGGAATTCGGCCGGGAGGGGAGCGGGCGGGTCGCGCCGTTGCAGTCCGAGCGACCCGGGCCACCGGCTGCAGGAGGTTAAACTTTAGCCATGCGGCGCCCTGCAGGGGTTCAGCTGGACGCGGAGAGCGAGCCGCTGGCGTGGGCTCGGGCTCCAGACGCGCCGCTTCCTGCCGGGCTCGGCCCTCCGCGCCGGCCCCTTCGGCCTGCCCCGGACCGCGGTACCCGGGACGGGAGGACTCGCGCGGGGGCGCGGCGCGGGCCGGCGGAGGCGGGAGCAGGGGTGACGGATGCCCCGGGACGCGACTTCACTGGGAGGGCGATCTTGGGTTTTTACTTTTAGAAAAAAGTAAAGTGATTTGGGAGGGCTTGAGGATCTGAGGTCTGAAAGTAAAGGGGGTTGATTTAGTACTGAGATGATTCAGGCCGGGCGCAGTGGCTCGCGTCTGTAATCCTAGCCTGCGAGGCGGAGGCGGGAAGACTGTTTGAGGCCAGGAGTTCTAGACAAGCCTGAGCAAGAGCGAGACCCCGTGTCTACAAAAAATAGAAATAATTAACCAGGCATGGTGGCGCATGTCTGTAGTCCCAGCTACTCCAAGGGTGAGGCAGAAGGATTGCTAGAGCCCAGGAGTTGGAAGTTGCAGTGAGCTATGATGACGCCACTGCACTCTAGCCCTGCATACAGAGCAAGACTCGGCCTCCAAAAAAAAAAAAACAAAAAACAAAAACAAAACATTAACATCTCTCATTCCACTCCTGGGCTGCAGTTTAGCAGGAGGCAACAGTGGTATTTTCATTACGAGGTGGATGAGGATAAAAGTCCACAGAAGACTTGCTTAATACAGGATAAGGGTCCAGAAGGCCGGGGTAGATGAGGGTGTCTGAGAGGGCCTGCCCCTGGCGCTCAGGCAGGGACCAGTTCACCCAGCACTGGTTAGGGGCCCAGGTCTAGGCCGCCCCTGCCTGGTCTCCTGGATTCTATTTCCAACGGGACTTAGAAGAGAGACCCAGTGTGAGGTGGTCTGACTGTGGCCTCCCACCTCACTCATCTGCAGAGCTAGAGGGTGGTCACCATTCTCAGTCACACTTCCTAACACCTCTCCCACGCCTCCCCGAGATGAGGATTTCCTAAGTAAGAACCTTACTTAGGAAAAGAAAGCTGCTCCTCCAGTCAAGTGGCCTGTCTCTGTCAGCACCAACGGTCTAGAGACCTCTCCCTCATGTGGAAATATTTTTGTGATAATCAACTTGATAAAATTGTCCCATGAAGTTGTATGCTTCAGTTTGGAAACAGAAACCTGAATTCATTTGTGCAACAGAGTGGGTGGTTCTGCCATGGAGCTGAAATTTGGTCAAAAGGTTTGTTGCTCAACTCAAACTGACAGGAACAGGAAAGGGGACAACTTGGTGTCCTGAACCTCCTTGTGGACCCTTTCCAGGGAGGGTCAGCCCTGGTCAGCAGGGCTAACTAGCTACACTGCTGCCTGTCCCTGGGCCTGGACACTCTGGTAGGGGTGCTGGCTCAGCCCCTGAAGATGAAGAAAGTTCATCAAGGGGAAATGACTCCTTCATGAAAAACTCCTTCATGAAAAATAACCAGTATATTCTAAGCCACCTTTCTTTTGCACATGAAAAGCAGTTTTTTTGTTTGTTTTATAATTCTGCATCTGTGAAGATAGGTTACATCGGTACTTATTCCTCTACTCTAAAACACTCCCAAGGAACATCAAATTTGTTATGTCTATCTTTATTTTAAAGAAAATCCTTTTGTGGCAAAAACTTACCATAGGCTTTTGATAAAAAGGAGACATTAAAAAATATCTCCTTAGAGTTGCTGGGAATAGGAAGCTGGCTGTGAGGGAGAGCTCTGTGCCTGGCGGGGTGGATCTCTGTGTTGCCTCTTGAAGGTTCTGGGAGTGGGCACAGCCTCCATGAGGGTCAGGGAGGAACAGAAAGGGGACCTTTTTCTTGAGAAACACCACAATCTGAGAGCAAGTCTAAGGTCTGTAAGAATAGTGCTCCAGGAGAGCTCCCCGGGTGCCTCTCATCTCCACTGAGCTCCCTTGAGTACTGTGTGTGCATAGCCTGTTTGCAAACCGTGTGAAGGTTTCCTTGGCAGCCACAACAATTAGCACTAATGACATGCCTGAGCTCCCTGGGCAGGCACCACTGAAGTTAGCTTGGGAGCCAGGGCAGGTTTGTAAATGATTGCCTGGCAGCCACCTTGGAAGCTTGGCTCCCTCCAAGTTCTCCTCTTGGCTGCATTCTTGATGGAATGCAAGAGAAAGTAAGGTGGTGGTGGTGGTGTTGGTGTCTAGCTGTCAATTTATATTAAAAAATTAGGTATTTGGCTGATTTTGTGGAAGTTATTCTTGACAGAGTATAGCTGGGAAGATTTCAGAAGAACAATAAATCTCCAGGAATTTTTCACTGTGGGAATGCTGCCTTGTGAGGTAGTGAACACCCTGTCACTGGGGGTGTGCAAAGCAACAGTGGTAGATGGGTTTTCCAAATTGGATGTGGAATTGCCCCAGGCAGACACCAACTCTTCAGCAATGAAATGAGTTTAAAATGCCAGCACAAATATCACTCTTTTGGGTCACTGATTCATGATATTGATCTAGGATTGGGAAGTTTCCTAAGATCCAATCAAAACATCTAGAGATGGTCTAGACCCCATCTACACAGCCACAGATTTCCTGATGACAGCGAGTCACTTCTACCTTGTGTTTCTATTCCCAGATGTGGGAAAAGCAATCTGCTGATACTTCAGTCTGGAGAAAGCACAATGTCCTTGCCCCCAGGGTGTGTGGTTTCTAGGTAACCTGCAACACTCTCATTTGGCTTTGTGTTCTGCCTATCCTAACCAGGATGCAAGCTGTGGAGCTGAGTGGAGTTCAGCAAACCCTGCTGAGATACAGGGAGAATTTAGGGTCTCCAATTCTGACCCTGTCGTGAATTGCTCTAAACCCTATCAGCCCTTGCACTTTGGTCAAGAAATCTCAGGTATTGTAATTTCTATAATGGGAAATAATTTTTATGTCATCACCATCATTGTTATTATTTGGAGGTTGTTTGGCATAATTCAAAAGCTTTAGAGTCAGATAGACCTGGATTTGAATCTTGGCTTCATTACTTAGTAACTGAGTGACTTGAAGCAGGTCCCTTAGCTTCTCTGAGCTTCAGTTTCTCTATCTGTCAGATGAGGCAAATCATAGCTACTTACAAGGCTATATGAGGGCTAGAATTAATGCTTCTAAAGTACGGCACAGTGCCTGGTACATAGATGGTTGATAAATGGCAGTTGCTATTATCATTATTATCTTCATCTTCAAATACCCACAGTTCTGTTCCACCTTTTGATGCCAGAACTCTAGGACTTCTGAGACTTGGACCCTTGGTGTTCTAGAAAAATACAGGAGTGATACTTTTGGGATATATTAAAACCTCATGAACTCAGACCCCAATTCTGTACAACTGGGCGTGGGGCTGCCACCCTCTGTGTGGATGGAGAATGCTCTGAGGTTTGAGGATTGCTCAGGAAGCAAGATGTAACATTGAGGCCACATTGCGATGATCATTGTGGGCACTGGGACTTCTCGCTGATGTGCCTGGGCCCACCCACAAGGGCTGCTGCACTCTAAGCTTATTAGTAGCCCATGGGATTAATCTGTGGGCACAGATGGTCAACAAATCAAGCATTTTACTAAGTCCGAATGACATTTCCCTCAAATGAGTCCAAGTGAACAACTGCTAAGTCCAGCTTTATTCTTTCTCCTAATTCTTAGTGGTCCATAGCCTCATATCTTCAAGACCCCAAGAATATGGAATTTTGAGGCAGATATTCTGAGATTTTGACAATCTTGCTGAGTTCAGTAGCAATGTAGGCTCTAGGTAATGGACTAAGGACGTAACAGATATGAATAAGCCATGGTCTCAGCCCTTGTAAAGTACACAGCTGGGGGAGGAGGAGGAAGGAAGGAGAAAGAAATGTCCTGGTATGGGCCCCTCCTTGGTGCTCCCAGAGCACCCTTTCCTAGCTCCCATCCTGGCACTTACCACCCTGTGGGGTAATTTCTGTGTATTTGTCTATTTTTCTGGAGAGCAAACTCTGGAGCTGGACCCTATCACTTTTTTTTAAATTTATTTATTTTTATTTTAGTGTATTATGGGGGTACAAGTGTTAAGGTTACATATATTGCCCATGCCCCCCTCCCCCCCTAGAGTAAGAGCTTCAAGTGTGTCCACCCCCCAAACATTGCACATCTTACTCGTTTGGGTGTATATACCCGTCCCCTCCTCCCCACTCCCACCGTCCCGACACCCGATAAATGTTACTCCTATATGTCCACTTAGGTGTTGATCCGTTAATACCAATTTGCTGGTGAGTACATGTGATCGGACCCTATCACTTACTAGTTGTGTGATTTGGGGAAAGTCATTTCCCCTCTTTGTTCACTCTCTCCGTTTCTTCATCTGTGCAATGGGTTGTGGGATAATGCATGTAAAGCCTTAGCATTGTGTGTGGAGCATAGTAGAATTTTTGAAATGTTAACTATTTTTATTAACAATGGCAGGGACCATTGTGTGGGTCACCATTGATCTTGAGTGCCAGTCACGGTGCCTGGCACTTAGTAGGGGCTCAGGAATCATTTGTTGATGGGATGGAGAAATGACATTAGGGTGGCACAGCCACTCTAATGCAGACCAGAGTGTAGGCTCTGGGAGCCCAGGGGAGGGGCAAGGAATTTTGACTGTGGCCCTAGAAGGGATTTATGGTGGTAGTCACTTATGAGCAGGGTTTTTAAGCAAGCATTGACTTTTAGTAGGAGCAGAAGGAGGTGGTGAAGGGCCATCTATATCAACGGGCAGTGTGGAATAGTGACTAAGAGCCCAGACTAGATCCAGGCTGCCTGGGTTTGAATCCTGCCTCTGGACCTTGGGCAAGCTTCTTTATTTCTCTGTGGCTTAGATAATAATAGTACCTCCTCAAGGGGCTGTTCTGAAGATTATATGAGTGATTCTTTGTAAAGCACCTAAAAGCAGTGTCTATAAATAAAATAAATAACCTAGAGCTATGACAGTATGGAGGGCAAGTAATATGGTAAATGGGAGATGTAGATAGCTAGGTAGTTTTAAAATAGTTCATGGAAGTCTTTGAATGTCATTCTTAATGAATTTGGAATTAGCTAATGAGGAACACATAAATCCATTCCAATGTGGGCAAAGCTCTGTGGTGGCTGCCCATTTTAAATGGGGTCTGCACTCCCCAGTTGGCCACAGTCCCTAACACTCCCTAGCCCAACACTTCTACGAGGGTCTGCATTCCTAACAAGTTCCCAGGTGATGCTGTAGCTGCGGGTCCAGGGACCACACTTAGAGAACCGCTGCCTTATTGTATGTCAGATGCTAAGATGGGGAATCAGTTGCCATTTATCATCAACATTGTACTGTGGTTTCTTTCATACCTGGCACAATTGATGCATTTAATGCTACTTTCCTGGCCCTGGTGGAACATGGGTTGGCAATTTCTGGCGTAATCATTATGGAAGGGCTGGGTATAAAGGTCACAAGGGATAGGTCAGAGAGAAAGAGATTTGGGAGTGGCTGAGGCTCAGCCTAGAGCAGGCTTATGGCAGCTGAAGCTGGGGGAATGTGTGAGCTCATTCCCTGGGCCAGCATGCGGGGAGAAATGGGCTGTGGATGACAGCAGAATATCAAGGGGGCACTGGCGCACCCTGCCATAAAGGAAAGGTGAAAGAATAGTCACTGTTTAAGGAAGAGGCTGGAAGGAGCATTCAAAGAGGTCAAGGAGAGCCAAGAGAAAGTTGCTGATGGAGAGTTCTTGATCTTATTATTAGAGAGAGGACTGTTGGCAATCATCTGAGGCCAAAGCTTAAATAGTTAAACAGTGAAGTTCTCAGGTGAGGTCACCATCTGTGGAATGACAAGAAGCAGGTGTCTTGTTACCCTTGCCCACAGCATGCCTGGTAACCTGCTGTTGCTCTGAGGCACAGCTTGTTGTGAGCAATTGTCTCTGAGGCTCCGGCAGCACCGTTGCAGCTTGGAGCTAAGCATGGTGAGTATCAGGTCACCCAACTCCTTTTTTTTCCCATAACCTGGCATGTTAGGTAGAAATGTGCTGGTCTTCGCATGGCCGTGGTGGGAGTTTTGTTTTTAGAGTATGTGTTGGGGAAGAGTTTCTGAGAAAGGGAAGGATGTAGCTGAACCTGGAGAAGTGGGTGAGTGGCATCCTGTAGGCAGTTTCGAGACCAAGCTAAGAGGTTTGCATTTGGTACCATGGCAGGGAGGAGCCATGCTGAGTGCCACAGTAGGGAGCAACTGTGTGCTTAATACAGCTCTGTAGCCCCAGTGCTTGGCACTGTGCTGGGCCTAAGTAGGCATACTGAAAGTCAGCGGAGAGGGAGTGAATGGATGAATTGGAGGTTTGAGGGAGAAGGGGTGATAATCTGATCAAAGCCAAGTTTTAGAAGGAATAGCCCCAACAATCAGTGTTGAGTAGTTCAAAGTCCAGAAGCTTTGGAGCCAGATGAACCTACAATTGCACTTCAAATCTTGTATCCTGTTTTAGTCCATTTTGTGTTGCTATAACAGAATGCCACAGACTGGGTAATTTATAAAGAAAAGAAATTTATTTCTCACAGTCCTAGAGGCTAGGACGTCCATTATCATCAAGGTGCTGGCTTCTGGCAAGGGCCGTCTTACTACATCATCCCATGATGGAAGGTGGAAGGGCAAGAGAGCCTGAGAGCAGGAGGGAAAGCGGCTGACCTCATTCCTTTGCCAGGACCCCACTCCCACAACAACCATCCCACTCCTGCGATAGTGGCATTCAGCCATTCATGAGACCAGGGTCCTCATGACTTAACTGCCTCTTAAAGGTCTCACCTTTCAACACTGCTGCATTGGGGATTATGTTTCAAACACATGAATACTGGGGATACATTCAAACCATAGCATCTCTCTACCTAGGGTAAGCTACTGAACCTCTGTAGACACCAGTTGCATTGGTTAAGTCAACCATCTATCTATTCATTTCTTTGTCCTCATTTAACACCCCCGATTCCCTTCATCTTCTCATAAATAACCATTCTAATGTGGTATGTATATCTTTTATTTTTATGAGTTATTACTAAATGTGATTGTGATTATATTAATAATATCTTATTAAAACAGAAATAGAAGTATATATGTGTATTTTTGTTTGTATATATGTATCTTGAAGATTATTATTTCATATTAGTACATGTAAAGCTGCCTTATACTTATCAATAGCTGCATAGTATTCCATTGTATAGAGATGCCCTTTGTATTCCTTATTGTACTTTGCTTCCTTATACTTTTTCTTGTGCTTTGCTTTTATAAATGGTACTACAATGACAGTTTTTTTCACAAGGAGCTTTGCACATATGAGATTATCTATAATGGTAAATTGTAATTGCTAGTAGTGGAATGTTCATTTTAAATTCCCATTGATACCATCAAGTTACTCTTCAAAGAAGACAATTTCTGTGCCTTTGAAGAGTGGGGAGAGTAGAATCTGAGTCTTTTGGCAACAGACTGGAGCTCTTTTTACTAAACTGTTAGTTTTTTTTAAAAAAACTGATCATAGATTGAGCAGTGTATGCAAAGACACAGTGGCTCTCTTAAGCCCTCTGGGAAGCCATGCACATCATTTCACTCCCATTCCTGGGGAGAGAACTTAGTCACATGATCATACCTGACTGTTGGGGAAGTTGGAAAATGTAATCCATCCATGTTTCACCGGAATCCTTTAATTACAGAAGGAGTGGACATCCCATCCTCTCCTTAGGGCTTTTTTTTTTTTTTTTGAGACAGAGAGTCTGGCTTTGTTTCCCAGGCTAGAGTGAGTGCCTGGCGTCAGCCTAGCTCACAGCAACCTCAAACTTCTGGGCTCAAGCAATCCTGCTGCTTCAGCCTCCCGAGTAGCTGGGACTACAGGCATGAGCCACCATGCCCTGCTAATTTTTTCTATATATATTAGTTGACCAATTAATTTCTTTCTATTTATGGTAGAGACATGGTCTCACTCAGGCTGGTTTTGAACTCCTGACCTTGAGCGATCCACCCGCCTCGGCCTCCCAGAGTACTAGGATTATAGGCGTGAGGCACCACGCCCCGCCTCCTTTGAGCCTTATCCTGAGGTAAACACAGGGTTGCAGAAGGACCCACTCCTAAATATGACAGCTCCCCACTGACAAAGACCTCTGCCAAGTACTCCTGCAGTGGAGGTGGGTTCGGGAGGGGTGTTCATTGAGGACTTGCTATGTGCCAGGCACTAGGCTGGATGCTTTACCTGCCTCATTCCTAATCACTTGCAAAGTGGGCCCCACAACCCTCCATATATACAGGAAGCTGAATGATGTGAAGTGACTTGCCCAAGGCAGAGGATTGGAACCCACATCTGCATGATTGCAAAGCGCCCTTCCTTTGTGCAGCTCTGGCCATGTCAGCACATGACAAGCATGCTGCAGCTGCTGTGCAGGCACCTCACCTTGCCCCACCTAGGCTCTTGCAGGCTAGGTATACCGTACATGCAGCCACATACCTTACCTAATGTGGACTCTCTTCTCGTTTTCCAGGCTTTTTCTCAGCTCTTTGGCCTGCTGCCGTGGCCTTGGTGGCACCCTTCTCTGGTGGTCAGCTCAGGACTTCCTCCGCCCATGCAGTCCCCAGCTGCTACTGCTGAGGGCCTTAGCAGCCCCATCTTTGGGGCCTATGCATTCCCCATCTTCAAGTTCCAGCCTCGTCGTGAAAGCATGGACTGGAGGCGCATTAGCACCCTGGATGTGGACCGTGTGATCCGGGAGCTGGATGTGGCCACTCTGCAGGAGAATATCACTGGTGTCACCTTCTGTAACTTGGACAGAGAGGTGTGCAGCCGCTGTGGGCAGCCTGTGGACCCAGCATTGCTCAAGGTGCTGCGCCTGGCGCAGCTCATCATCGAGTACCTGCTGCACTGCCAGGATTGCCTGAGTGCCAGCATCGCCCAGCTGGAGGCACGGCTGCAGGCCAGCCTGGGCCAGCAGCAGCGCGGTCAGCAGGAGCTGGGCCGCCAGGCTGACGAGCTCAAGGGCGTGCGGGAGGAGAGCCGCCGGCGTCGCAAGATGATCAGCACCCTGCAGCAGCTGCTAATGCAGACAGGCAGCCACAGCTACCACATGGTGAGGATTCTCCACTGGGCGGGCAGGGAGATTGGGAAGGCACTGCCCTGGGCCATGCTGCCCTGGGCCATTCTCACTGGTTAGGAGCAGATGGGCCAGAGAGCCTGAGGCTGTCTCATTAGTTTCTACAGTATGTGTGTGTGTGTGTGTGTGTGAGTGTGTGTATGGGGACCCTACATGTGTGGGAGGTGTGTGTATGGAGTTTGTATATGTTCATGGACAGGGTGTGTGTCTAGTGTGTGTATGCATGAATGTATAGAGGGCGTGTGTGTGTGTGGATGGTGCAAATATGTGTGTGTATTTAATGTGTGTATACGAATGCTTGCTGGGCACCTCTGTGTATAGTATCTGTGTGTATGTAGAATGTGTGGTGTGTAATGTGTGCTTGTGTGTAATGTGTGCTTCTACTGGTTTATTATAAAGTATACGACTCTGGAATGTGTATATAAAGATGTATTTATGGGGTGTGTGTGTGAATGAATGAATGAAGGGTATATGTGTGTAAGAGTGTGTGTACTTACGGAAGGTGTAAGCATGTGTATGTGTGTATGGATGGAGGGTTTGTGTATGTAGAGAGTGTGTTGTGTAAAGGTGTGGGAGACGGGGATGTATGTGTATATACAGAATCAATAATGACTAGGAATTGGTGGAGTCAGGCGCATTCTGGAATAGTGACTCCATTACTGAACCAAGTGACAGTTCATTATCCAGAGCAGCATTTGAGCATTTGACTCTATCTCCGTGGAAGCGTAGATTGGGGATATTTACCCTTTAATAAATTTTCACGGTGTCCAGGCCCTGCGCCAGGCTCTGAGGATATAGGTACAAGTTCTGGTTTTCAAGAAATTCATACTGTGTGGGTGGACAGGTAGGTGACTTATTCCTGCTCACAATACTTCTGACACCAGCCAATTCTCCGACACCAGCTGGGTGTCCTTCAGTTCAGTTCAATTCTGACGCTTATCCTGGAGTTAGTGTCAGAGCCCACAAGATAAGGGATCAGTCCCACAAGACTGGACCTATTTCAGATGCCAGTTGCAAGCCCCTGATACCAAGGATTTGCTAGAATGGCCCACAGAACTCAGGAAGGTACTTTATTACTGGTCTATTATAAAAGATAAAACTCAGAATAGTCAAACGGAAGAGATGCATAGGGCAAGGTACGGAGAAGGGGCTCGGAGCTCCCATGCCCATTCTGGGTGTGCCACCCTCCCCACACCTGTGTGTTCACCAATCTGGAAGCTCTCTATACCCCATCATTTAGGGTTTTTATGGACCACCATGCAGACATGCTTGATTAAATCATGCTTGATTAAATGCATAATAACCATGTGTTATGAAGTCAATATCCAGCCTCTCCCCTCCCTGGAGATTGGAGGGTAGGGCTGAAAGTTCCAACCCTCTAATCATGCCTTGGTCTTTCTGGCGACCAGCTACCAAGCTGAAGTCATCCAGGGTCCCCAGCCACTAGTCATCCTATTAGCACGCAAAAGACACTCTTATCACTCAGGAGATTCCAAGGATCTCAGAAGCTTTTGTGTCATGAGCTGGGGGCTAAGACCAAATATTGTTATAAAAGTTACTTCTATCACCCCTATCGCTCAGGAAATTATAAGTGTTTTAGAAGCTCTATGCTGGGAACTAGGGATGAAGATCAAATATATATTCTTATTATATCACAATATCACAGTGGGACAAAGGAATCATTATGATATGGTGTTAATTGATAAAATGGTAATTGATACAATTCATTTGATGTTTATGACTAAAGGGTCAGAACCCTTTTAGTGGGAAGTCACATGGTCGTGCTTGGTTGCAAGGGAGGCTGGACATACAGTGTTTATTCTCATTGACTTCAGGAACAGCTAAAACTCAGAGTTTCTGTTACCAAAGAAGAAAGAGAAAAAGGAGTATTGGGGACAACTGGAAATTTCTGTCACATTTGCCTGTGTGCAAAGTTAGCAAATAATCTGCCCTGTAACTCTGATTAGCTAGCAGTGGCAGCCTCCAAAGCTATGCTGAGAAGAATTCTCAAGTTTGACAGTGAAAAGATGTTATGATACATTGTCAGTGTCTGAAATGCCTTAGGAGAGGGATGTGGAATTACGGATGCTATTTATTTGCTAACCTCTGCCTCTGGTGGCTCTCAACCCTAGGATGGGACCTAGACATTGGTATATGTTTTTAAAACTTTTTATTATGGAAAATTTCAAACATGTCCAAAAGTAGAGAGAATATTATAATGATCCTTTATCTACATACTTCCTAGCCCAACAGTTATCAACGCATGGCCAGTGTTGTCATGTCTGTTCCCCTGGCCACTTCCCCACACTCCTGGATTATTTTGAAGGATGTTACTCATGATTTTATTTGCAATATTTCAGTATGTATCTCTAAAAGGCAAGGACTCCCACTTCTAAACATAAATACAACACCATCATCACACTCTGAAAAATCAACAGAAATTCCTTAGTATCATCAAATATCCAGTGTTCACAGTTTCCCAGGGTACTGGTCGTAATATAAGCCCCCTGGGTGGTTCTAATGGGCAGCTTGGGTTGATGTCACTGCCTTACTCAGTAAATAAAATTCTTCATTTCTGAGGCAGCCTAGGGGTCCCAAGAGAATGGGAGTTTTGATATAGGGAGAATCCCAGTCTGACTCAAGTGATCTAATCCTGCACTCCCCATTGCTTCCCCTCTGTGTAGTGCCACCTGTGTGACAAGACGTTCATGAATGCCACCTTTCTCCGGGGCCACATCCAGCGTAGGCATGCAGGCGTGGCAGAAGGTGGTGAGTCCAGACAGCAGCCCGGGCTCCTTCTGGGACTGTGGAAGGGCCTGGGGCTGGTGTTCAGTGGGTGAGGGGCACATATACCACCCAAACCTGCTGTCACACCCTCATCATCTAGCTGAGGATGGGGTGATCCCACAATCCACCCTGGGGGGATCCCACATAGGTTGGAAGGGTCTCTGACTGTGTTTATGGGAGTCAAACAGGTAGATTCCAGTCTTAGCCTTGTCCCTATCCATTATGTGACTTTAGTCAGTGCTTCTTCCTCTGTGTCTCAGTGGCCTTCACTGTGAACAGGGCAGTGAGATGGGGTGACTTTGAGGGGTTCTTTTTTCTGTGGGTCTGCAATTCTCTGATGCTAGATAGGAATGAGCTTAAATGGGGCAAATGGGCAGTCAGACCAGTTCTTTGACTTTTCTTTGTACCTGAGCTTATCATGACTTGATCAAAATGAGTAGCAAGGCTGTATATTTTCCGCATAAAGACATTTGTATACTTTATATCCATTTTTTTGGTTCAACAAGAAACAGCTATTCATAGTAAAACATAAAATAACTGTAAACATAAAAATCCTGTCAAATAAAACTTTCCCCCTATTTTCCATCATTTTAATTCCCTTTTCAATGAACAGATTTAGAGTTTTAAAACAGTACCTTATACCTAGTTACTATGCATTTATTACCTTTCTAATTCTTCTTGGTTCTGCATTGGAGGCTGCTAAGGAAAAAACTGATTTTCCATGTCTTAAATATTTTTTTCTGATAAAAATATGTCTTTGATATGAAAAATTTAAATACAAGAAACCAGAAAAAAGAAGATAAAAACCATGGACAGTATCACCAGCAGTTAATATGTTGGTGTATTCTCTGTCATTTTTTTCTGTAGACATATATAATCATATAGTATACACTTTGACTATTGCTTATTTTCACTTAAGAATACATTGTATTTGCGAATGTCATTAATTATCTTTGAAAACATGTTTTTTTAATGGCTGAATAATACACCACCAAGTGGCTATCATAATTTATTTCAAAATTTCCTCCTATTGAATATATGGCTTATAGTTTTTCCTATTATAAACCACATGATGATGATATTCTTAATGTGTAAATATTTGTGCATGTCTTTTATTATTTTCTTAATGTAAAGTGCATAAGAAAAGGGAAAATATGTTCTTAAGTTAACTGTTGCTACATTAATATTCATGATCTATTTATTCTCAGGCAGCTGGCTTCCCAGATGCCCAGCTCTTCTATTTCACACTCACCTCAAATAACTTTATTAAACCAAATTAATTCTACCGCATCTAAAAATTGCTTGTTTCCAAAATATTCAACCTGAGAAAAGCCAGATCTCTTTTCAAAGAAAAGGCTTAGAGTTTTAGTAACAGTATCATCTATCTAATAATCACTAAATATACTTTAAAAAGTAACAAATGTTCAAGTACTATTGGTGTCTTTTTCATTAATCCTTAACTCTTGTTTTATCAATATGTGGTTTAGTTAGAATGTTCTTTTATAATTCATTCAGATTTTTTTAACTTAAAAATTTACAGTATACATTTAAATTAACCTTGGTTAAAATATTCCTTCATAACGCATGCTACCCTTTTTTCATTTGAAACTTAAAACCATATTTAAATTATATTATTGAAAAAAGTGAACTTAAAACTACAATTATTTTCATTATTTTAAATTCTTCTCTGATTACTGTCAACATACGTAGATATGTTCTTTGTATTAATAATTGGTGTATACACAGTATTTGATATCCTGCTTCTGTTACTATAGTAGTTTTACATTTTTATTTCCATGTGTCAGTACTGTCAAAATACTTATTTTAAGGGACAATGCAATAATAGTTCACATTTACTGAGCTGTTTTGCCAGGCACCATGCTAAGCACTTTGCATTATCACATTTTATCCTCACAATAACCCTCTGAGTTAGGTGCTATTATTATCTCTATTTTGCCATTTGAGGAAACAGAGGGTCAGGGAGCTTATGTCCTTTGGCCAAGGTCAATGTACTAAGTGGCAATGCAGGTCTCAGACCAAGGTGTGACTGATTGCAAAGGCGAGGAACTACACTTCCTTGATTTTTTGACTTAAACTGGTCACCTGTCTTTGCATGGACCCCACAGGAAAACAGAAGAAGCAGGATCAGCCAGTGGAAGAAGTGATAGAAGAGCTACGGGCCAAGCTAAAGTGGACCCAAGGGCAGCTGGAAGCCCAGAGGGAGGCCGAGAGGCAGCGGCAGCTCCAGGTGGGCATGGAGAGGAAACGTTAGGGAGAATCGGGTCACCAACTGCCTGGGAGACCCATGATGAACATCAATCCTGTGGGGCTGGAATTTTAGCTGGTTTTCCAGAACTGAGAGCCAGAGCTAGGCTAGTGCCTTCCTGGACATGGCAAATGGTTCTGGGTAGTCTGGAAAGGAAAATCGAATTAATTTTGCTAGATCTATGTGCACAAAGGTAGAGCAGAGACATGCTGTTTCCTGCATTAGTCAGCACTCTGTCTGAGGACATTTGAACTTGAATTTTAACTTTTTCTACTTCACTATTGTTTAGTGTTTTGAAGACAAAGACTGGATCTGATTCTGAAAGTTCCAGAACCCAGCCCAGAGGAAGTGCTCAGTAAATATTTGTAGAATGAAAATATATAAACTTGCCCCGCTCATTCCTCATTTACTCCTTCATCACTTATCCCTTCAGCATGCATTTATCCAGCACCAGCTCTGTCATGTACTGTGGGGAATATAGGCATGCCTTGTTTTATTGCATTTTGCTTTATTGTGCTTCACAAATACTGTGTTTATGAATTGAAAGTTTGTGGGAACCCCACATCCAGCAAGTTTAGTGGCGCCATTTTTCCAACAGCATGTGCTCACTTTATGTCTCTGTGTCACATTTTGATACTTCTGTCAATATTTCAGACTTTTCCAATGAACACATGAATGATAAGAAAGTGAAACAGTCTTATTGCTGATATGGAGAAATTTTTAGTGGTCTAGGTAGATCAAACCAGCTACAACATTCCCTTAAGCCAACACCTAATCCAGAGCCAGGTCCCAACTCTCTTCACTTCTATGAAGGCTGAGAGAGGTGAGGAAGCTGCAGAAGAAAAGTTGGAAACTGGCAGAGCTTGGTTCATGAAGTTTAAGAGAAGATGCCATCTTTATAACGTAAAAGTACAAGGTGAAGCAGCAAGTGCTGATGTAGGAGCTACAGCAAGTTATCCAAAAGATCTAGCTGGGATCATTGATAAAGGTGGCTACACTTAGCGGATTTTCAATGTAGATGAAACAGCCTTCTATTGCAATAAGATGCCATCTAGGACTTTCCTAGCTAGAGAGAGGTTAAGGCCTGGCTTCAAGGCTTCAAAGGACAGGGTGACTGTCTTGTTAAGGGCTGATGCAGCTGCTAAGTTGAAGCCAATGCTCATTTACCATTCTGAAAATCTTATGGCCCTTAAGAATTATGCTAATTCTACTCTGCTTGTGCTTTATAGAAAGGGAACAACAAAGTGCAGATGACAGCACATCTGTTTACAGCATGGTTTACTAAATATTTTAAGCCTACCATTGAGACCTACTGCTAAAAAAAAAAATGATTCCTTTCAAAATATAATTGCTCATTGGCAATATACCTAGACACGCAAGAACTCTGATATATCAACAAGGAGATCATGTTGTTTTTGTGCCTGCCAACACAATATCCATTCTGCATCCCATGAATCAAAGAGAATTTTGACTTGCAAGTTTTAGTAGTAAAGAAATGCATTTTTTAAGGCTATAGCTGCCATATATAGTGATTCCTCTGATGGATCTGGAAAAAGTAAATTGAAAACGGTCTGAAAAGGATTCACTGTACTGGATGCCATTAAGAACATGATTCATGGGAGGAGGTCCAAATGTCAACATTAACTGGAGTTTGGAAGAAATCGATTCTAACCTCATGGATGATTTTAAGACTTTAGTAGAGGGAGTAACTGCAGATATGGTGGAAATATTAATAGCAAGGGAACTAGAATTAGGAATGGAGCCTGAAGGTGTGACTGAATTGTTGCAATCTCATGATCAAACTGTAATGGTTGAGGAGCAACCATTTTCTTTGGATGAGCAAAGAAAATGCTTTCTTAGGATGGGATCCACTCCTAGTGTAGATGCTGTGAACATTGTTGAAATGACAATGAAGGATTTAGAATATTCCATAAACTTAGCTGATAAAGCAGCAGCAGGGCTTGAGAGGACTGACTCCAATATATCTTTTTTTTTTTTTTGAGACAGGATCTCACTCTGTTGCCAGCTGCTAGAATGCAATGGTGTCATCATAGCTCACAGCAACCTCAAACTTCTGGGCTCAAGCGATCCTCCTGCCTCAGCCTCCTGAGTAGCTGGGACTATAGGTGTGTGCCACCCAGCTAATTTTTTGTAGGGATGAGGTTTTGCTATGTCGCCCAGACTGGCTTGAACTCCTAGGCTCAAGTGATCCTCCCACCTTGGCCTCCCATGGTGCTAGGATTACAGGCATGAGCCACCTTGCCCAGCCTGACACCAACTTTGAAAGACATTCTACTGTGGGTAAAATGCTATCAAACAGCATCACATGCTTCAGAGATATCTTTCACAAAAGGAAGTCAATTGATGTGGCAAACTTCATTGTTGTCTGATTTGAAGAAATTGCCACAGCCACCCAGCCTTCAGCAACTACCACCCTGATCAGTCATCAGCACCCATCAACATCAAGGCAAGACCCTCCACCAGCAAACAGATTATGACTTGTTGAGGTTCATATGATCATTAGCATTTTTTAGCAGTAAAGTATTTTAGACATGCTACCGCACAGGTTTTTTTAGACACACTATTGCACACTTAATAGACTACAGTATAGTATAAACATATAGTATAGTATAATCATAACTTTTATATGTACTGAGAAACAAAAAAAATTCATGTGACTTCCTTAATTGCTTTATTATAATATTTGCTTTATTGCTCCCCAATGCAGCAGTGTTGAAAGGTGGGACTTTTAAGAGGCAGTTAAGCGCATGAGGACCTCGGTCTCATGAATGGCTGCAATGCCACTATCGGGCAGGAGTGGGATGGTTGTTGTCGGGAGTGGGGTCCTGGCAAAAGAATGAGGTCAGCCCGCTTTCCCTCGCTCTTCAGGCTCCTTGCCCTTCCACCTTCCATCATGGGATCGATGTAGTAAGAGACGGCCCTTGCCAAGAGCCAGCACCGTTGATGATGAGATGGACCGTCCTAGCCCTCTAGGACTGTGAGAAATAAATTTCTTTTCTTTATAAATTACCCCAGTCTGTGCCATTCTGTTATAGCGAACACAATGGACTAAAACAGGTACAAGATTTGAAGTGCGAATTGTAGGTTCATCTGGCTCCAAAGCTTCTGGACTTTGAACTACTCAACACTGATTGTTGCGGCTTATTCCTTCTAAAACTTGGCTTTGATCAGATTATCACCCTTCTCCCTCAAACTCCAATGCATCCATCTCACTCCTCTCCCGCTGACTTTCAGTATGCCTACTTAGGCCCGGCACAGTCCAGGCACTGGGGCGTACAGAGCCTGTATTAAGCAGCACGTTGCTCCTACTGTGGGCACTCAGCATGGCGGGAGGAGCATGCTGAGTCCTACAGTAGGCCGAGCACTGTGTTGCTTATATCAGCTCTGATAGCCCCAAGTGGCCTGGGCACTGGTGCTGGGCTAAGTGGCTACTGAAAGTCAGGCGGAGACGCGAGTGAATGGATGCATTGGAGGTTTGAGGGAGAGGGGGTGATAATCTGGATCAAAGCGCAAGTTTTAGAAGGAAGTTAGCCCAACAATCAGTGTTGAGTAGTCTTCAAAGTCGCAGAAGCCTTTGGAAGCCAGATGAAGCCTACAATTGCACTTCAATCTTGTATCCCTGTTTTAGTCCATTTTGTGTTTGCTTAGACAGAAATTGCGCACAGAACTGGGCTATATTTATCAAGAAAGCAAATATATTTTCACAGTCCTACGAAAGGCTAGGCGTCATTATCATCAAGGTCGACTGGGCTTCTGGCAAGGGCCGTCTTACT